ACACTGCAAAAAATTCTGAGTAGAATCCACTCAAAAAATTGAGTAAATGAATGCACCCACAGTGACACAAAATAGTGAGTAAAACTACTCATAAAATGTGAGTAATATTTACTCAAATTTTTGAGTTTATTTACTCAAAAAACTGAGTTGAAAGTACTCAAGTTATACACATTTACAGTTACTCACGGTAGGAGTAAACAATAAATTACTCAAACTTTGAGTAAACGTACTCAAAACGTGAGTAATTTTACTCGAAATTTGAGTATTTTTACTCAAAAAAAGAGTTCTAGTTACTCAAATAAAATGCACCCATAGTGACTCCTTATTTTGAGTAAATGTACAGTTTACTCAAACTTTGAGTAAATTTACTCAAACTTTGATTATGTTTACTCAAAAAAAGAGTTCTAGTTACTCAATAAAATGTACCCATAGTGACTCGTTATTTTGAGTAAATGTACAGTTTACTCAAACTCTGAGTATTTTTACTCAAAAAAGAGTTCTAGTTACTCAAATAAAATGCGCCCGAAATGACTCTCTATTTTGAGTAAATGTACAGTTTACTCAAACTTTGAGTACATCTACTAAAAAATGCTCCAGTTACTCTATGAACAAGTGGTGTGTCACTGTCAAACCATAACATTGAGTAACTAATTAAAGTAGCAGACAAAAGTACTGCACAGTGTGCCACAGCAAGGAACAAAAGTACTCCACAGTGTGTTACTTTGAGAAACAAAAATAATTATATATACTATTAATCGTCAATAGAATTATGCAAGCACAAACAATATTTTTTGAAGAATAAACGTTTATAATTATTAAAAAACCCCACAACTCAACAAGATTTTTAAAATTATTACTCTAGTACACTGAACTATATGTATACATGGATGGAAGGTTATTACTTTAGTGACTTTAGCCAAAATGGCGGCTCGATCGCGAAGTCATTCTCGGACGTCAATTATATAATAAGTTCCAGACTTTACTGTAATTATAGTTTCAGTTGGCAGGTTTCAGTTCGTTTGAGCTGATAAACCTTCAATGTACAGTATATATAGTTCAGTTGTACTGTAATACATGCATCTACATGCATCTACATACACCAATTGAAAAATGAAATATAAAGTCTAACAAAAGATCAAAGAGGTAAGATAAAACAGTCTTTAATATATATATATAGTGTTTAATTAAGGCCATGAGGCAATTTTTGGTGCAACTTCCAATGCAACTTCTGGCATATATAGCAATGTTATGTAAAACGTAATCAGAGTAAATTTAAGGTCGCTGAATCTCAGTTAATACTTTTTATGTGATGTTATTATAAATATACTGTACATCAATCTATGTGGCAGAAGTTGCAACAAAAATTGCCTCGTGTAAGATTGCTTAAAATGGCTATAGCACATTTTAATACTTAGCAGTTTCAATCATCATCTCCGATCATAATTGTATTGAGCTTGTTCACAAAGGTTATCACAGAAGTCAGTAGCTTCTTGCTGTTGTTTATGTTTATGTTTAGTAGCTTTAGTACACAAGACTACCTGGGTACTGTCCATATAAGTACATAATTTGTAGCCACGAATGCCACAGCTACATCTACCAGCCATCTTCAGAAGATATAAAGGACCATGGTTTCGGCAACAACGGCCATCAATCTTGTTGCAGTCGTTGCAGTTTTCAATGTTTCCCTTTACCAAAATTTGGGGGGTTACCATGCATATTACAAGCTGACAGCATCCTCAAAGCTTTCATCCTTATGCCAAAATAAGAAATGTAATGAGATCACACATTTAATTTTTATTTACAGCATGCCTGGCACAAGTATGCAGTATATATAAGGCCAAATTAAATAAAAACTTGGCATCACCGCCCGCCTCTCGATTTCTGCCGCCTCTTTTTTATGTAAATCTCTTCGTTTTACAGCTTAAAACAGTTTAATATTTGAATTTTTTTCATGCTCAGACCTTCGCCCTATATACTGATCGATAGGAGCGTGTGGGCTTGGGTATACAGAATTCTTATAGTAAAATGGCGCTATTCGCAACAGCAGTACAAAAAATTTCACCAATATCGTAGAAAAACCGCCCCCATCCCCCCTTTAAAAATTTAAAAATGAGTAAAAATTTAAAAAACACTGCCTGCCCGCCTCTGAAAATTTGTGAGAATGTGACGCTAACCAAATATTCATTCCCCCCAATGGGCAAACCCATGTAGTAATTGTTTCTTACTGAGTTAATACTTAAATGAATTAATATAAGTAAAAATATATATAATTTATATACAAGTACATTTTAGTTCATGAAATGCTAAAAACTGCTGAATGCTAAAATATATCTTTCATTTGCTACCGGTATACACAGTATTTGACCATGCAAAATAGAAAATTGTCAATATTTATACAGAAGGTATATATCCATGCATCTCCCCTTTCATGAGCAGCTTGTTTGACCATGCCACTCAAAAGTGGTGCTGGTAAAAGGCGGCAAGTACCAGCCTTACAAAACAACAGTAAACTGCATCGATCAGCATATATTTGTTCCCGCTGATAGGTGGCTTTAAGATGTGCCAGCTGAGTGACCTATTGGTCAAAGGCGGCAAGTACCAGCCTTACACAAAAGCTGAAAACAGCACTACTAAATAAAAATCAAAATTCAAAACAAACTGTATTGTTGTTTAAGTTCATTACCTTTGCTGTTTTAACTTGCATGTTCATTTTTGTTTAATATAAGTAAAAATATATATAAAGTATTATGCGAGTACATTTTGGTTCATGCAATGTGCTAAAAAGTGCTAAATATCATATAGATAGAGCAAAATATACTGTGTGTATATATATAATGCTAACCTACTGTTTCTTTCATTTGCTATATCTTTGACCATGCAAAATAGAAAATTGTCAATACAGAAGGTATACATTCATGCATCGATGGTTGTCCAATACAGCAGCATTTCACGACTCGTTACAACTTGTAAGGAATATTTCACGAGTCGTGAAGGACTTAAGAGTGCACCCAGCCAAGTGGTGAACTTCACGAAATTCGTACGACTCGTTAAATCCGTGAAATTTCACGACTCGTTACAACTTGTAATGAATGTTTCACGAGTCGTGAAGGACTTAAGAGTGCACCCAGCCAAGTGGCGAACGTCACGAAATTCGTACGACTCGTTAAATCCGTGAAATTTCACGACTCGTTACAACTTGTAAGGAATGTTTCACGAGTGGTGAAGGACTTAAGAGTGCACCCAGCCAAGTGGTGAACCTCACGAAATTCGTACGACTCGTTAAATCCGTGAAATTTCACGACTCGTTACAACTTGTAATGAATGTTTCACGAGTGGTGAAGGACTTAAGAGTGCACCCAGCCAAGTGGTGAACTTCGCGAAATTCGTACGACTCGTTAAATCCGTGAAATTTCACGACTCGTGACAACTTGTAATGAATGTTTCACGAGTCGTGAAGGACTTAAGAGTGCACCCAGCCAAGTGGTGAACCTGACGAAATTCGTACGACTCGTTAAATCCGTGAAATTTCACGACTCGTGACAACTTGTGAGGAATAATTCACGAGTCGTGGAGGACTTAAGAGTGCACCAGCCAAGTGGTGAACCTCACGAAATTCGTACGACTTGTTAAATCCGTTAAATTTCACGACTCGTGACAACTTGTAATGAATGTTTCACGAGTCGTGAAGAACTTAAGAGTGCACCCAGCCAAGTGGTGAACTTCACGAAATTCGTACGACTCGTTAAATCCGTGAAATTTCACGACTCGTTACAACTTGTAATGAATGTTTCACAAGTCGTGAAGGACTTAAGAGTGCATCAGCCAAGTGGTGAACTTCACGAAATTCGTACGACTCGTTAAATCCGTGAAATTTCACGACTCGTTACAACCTGTAATGAATGTTTCACGAGTCGTGAAGGACTTAAGAGTGCACCCAGCCAAGTGGTGAACTTCACGAAATTCGTACGACTCGTTAAATCCGTGAAATTTTACGACTCGTGACAACTTGTAAAGAATGTTTCACGAGTCGTGAATGAGTTAAGTGTGCACCAGCCAAGTGGTGAACCTGACGAAATTTGTACGACTCGTTAAATCCGTAAAATTTCACGACTGGTTACAACTTGTAATGAATGTTTCACGAGTGGTGAAGGACTTAAGAGTGCAGGAGCCAAGTGGTGAACTTAACGAAATTCGTACGACTCGTTAAATCCGTGAAATTTCGCGACTCGTTACAACTTGTAATGAATGTTTCACGAGTCGTGAAGGACTTAAAAGTGCAGGAGCCAAGCGGTGAACGTCACGAAATTCGTACAGGTACGACTCGTTAAGTCCGTGAAATTTCACGACTCGTTACAACTTGTAAGGAATGTTTCACGTTAAATCCGTGAAATTTCACGACTCGTGACAACTTGTAAGGAATGTTTCACGAGTCGTGAAGGACTTTAAGACTGCACCCAGCCAAGTGGTCAATTTCACGAAATTCGTACGACTCGTTAAATCCGTGAAATTTCACGGCTCGTTACAACTTGTAAGGAATGTTTCACGAGTCGTGAAGGACTTAAGAGTTCACCCAGCCAAGTGCTGAACCTGACGAAATTCGTACGACTCGTTAAATCCGTGAAATTTCACGACTTGTTACAACTTGTAATGAATGTTTCACGAGTCGTGAAGGACTTAAGAGTGCACGCAGCCAATTACTGACTTGTTACAACTTGTAATGAATTTTTCGCGAGTCGTGAAGGACTTAAGAATGCACCCAGACCAAGTGGTGAACTTCACGAAATTGGTAAGACTCGTTAAATCCGTGAAATTTCAAGACTCGTAACAACTTGTAAGGAATGTTTCACGAGTCGTGAAGAACTTAAGAGTGCACCCAGCCAAGTGGTGAACCTGACGAAATTGGTAAGACTCGTTAAATCCGTGAAATTTTACGACTCGTTACAACTTGTAAGGAATGTTTCACGAGTCGTGAAGAACTTAAGAGTGCACCCAGCCAAGTGGTGAACCTGACGAAATTCGTACGACTCGTTAAATCCGTGAAATTTCACGACTCGTTACAACTTGTAAGGAATGTTTCACGAGTGGTGAAGGACTTAAGAGTACACCCAGCCAAGTGATGAACTTCACGAAATTCGTACGACTCGTTAAATCCGTAAAATTTCACGACTGGTTACAACTTGTAATGAATGTTTCACGAGTGGTGAAGGACTTAAGAGTGCAGGAGCCAAGTGGTGAACTTCACGAAATTCGTACGACTCGTTAAATCCGTGAAATATCCCGACTCGTTACAACTTGTAATGAATGTTTCACGAGTCGTGAAGGACTTAAGAGTGCACCCAGCCAAGTGGTGAACTTCACGAAATTCGTACGACTCGTTAAATCCGTGAAATTTCACGACTCGTGACAACTTGTAATGAATGTTTCACGAGTGGTGAAGGACTTAAGAGCATACCCAGCCAAGTGGTGAACCTGACGAAATTCGTACGACTCGTTAAATCCGTGAAATTTCACGACTCGTTACAACTTGTAATGAATGTTTCACGAGTGGTGAAGGACTTAAGAGTGCGCCCAGCCAAGTGGTGAACCTGACGAAATTCGTACGACTCGTTAAATCCGTGAAATTTCACGACTCGTTACAACTTGTAATGAATGTTTCACGAGTGGTGAAGGACTTAAGAGTGCAGGAGCCAAGTGGTGAACTTCACGAAATTCGTACGACTCGTTAAATCCGTGAAATTTCGCGACTCTTTACAACTTGTAATGAATGTTTCACGAGTCGTGAAGGTCTTAAAAGTGCAGGAGCCAAGCGGTGAACGTCACGAAATTCGTACGACTCGTTAAATCCGTGAAATTTCACGACTCGTTACAACTTGTAAGGAATGTTTCACGAGTCGTGAAGGACTTAAGAATGCACCCAGCCAAGTGATGAACCTGACGAAATTCGTACGACTCGTTAAATCCGTGAAATTTCACGACTCGTTACAACTTGTAAGGAATGTTTCACGAGTCGTGGAGGACTTAAGAGTGCACCAGCCAAGTGGTGAACCTGACAAAATTCGTACGACTCGTTAAATCCGTTAAATTTCACGACTCGTGACAACTTGTAATGAATGTTTCACGAGTCGTGAAGAACTTAAGAGTGCACCCAGCCAAATGGTGAA